GTACTATGGTAAGCTTATTCCCTATGAGAAATTCGCTAAAATGTTCACAACAATTTGGAATCTGAACAGTGATGGATGCAGATTTAATTAAGTTACCCTTTGTCCTGTCCTTGTGGTGAATCAATCAGAATTTCCACCTCACAATAGGACTCTCTTTTTTGTCAGGTTCGCAACTAATTGTTTTTGCTTTACAGTGTTTATTAATGAATATTTTGTGGATCAGTACTTGGTTTTATTCATCTACTAGAAGTAAAAAATGTGGCAATGTTTTAATCTGAATTTTATTTTAAAAATAATCTAATTATACAAACCACTCGTGGAGTTTTTACGGAGAATATGTGCTTGAATTTAAGTGTCATTCGGCAGGCAAATTTACCTTAATGTGGAAACAGCTGTGGGAAATGGGTTGAAATTGCAATTTCATGGAGATGTTCATAATGAACTAGCTTGACTGAAATTCTACAGACCACTCATTACTGCCAACTGTCTTTAGGCTAGAACCGAGTCACTTTGTGAATCATTCAAACGCAGGACATTTGGCCTGGTACTTGTAAGATGGGTGAAATAACTTGTTTATTTAATATGTAATGTAGCAACCGATATTTTTTACTGAATGGATTTAAAATAGATAGACGTGACAGTTAAATATAACAACTTTAACATTACAAACAACCATGGGAACAAGTTTTCAAGTGGACTTAACGAGATCGGAAATAAAATATTTTCTTACTATTTTTACTTTTTTTTGTTATTGTTACAAACAACAACAAAGGAGATTCTTAGGTACAACTATAACTAAGGAGTTGCTGGTATTTTTTAACACGTAGATGAATAAAACTAGTGATAAAACACAGTTTGTGAAGTTTTGAAAATAAATTGAAGTAAACTTGACTTTGTATAAAATATCACTATTAATTTATCCAAAAATAATCATAACTCTCATACTATGGAGCTCCTAGTTCATTATTACTTTCTATACAAGGGTTGATATTCTCCATGTCTCAATATGAGGTCGGGTTTCAATATATTGATTTGGATTTATCTCTGTGAAGGGAGATCTATTTCTACAATAAATTGTAAAAAATCTTTTGATAATGTACTTTTTCACGTCAGCACAAGGAGTAGGTACTAGTTTACTGCAGTGCTAAGAATGTAATGCAATTAATTAAGAAATATATTTTATTTAATCAGTATTTATTAAAAGCACATTGAGTTCAATGTTTCTGCGTCAATATTTAATTTTCTGATAGCTTACAAATTATATTCGGCCACATGTGTGTCTTTTTAAATAAAATTGATAAATACAAGCAGACTTTTTCTCGACAAGTTATTTGCTCTACTGTCATTGTGTTGGTATTGTTTTAAATATAAATAAACAAACTATGACACAATTTCCCTGTACAAGTAGTTTATACTGTCAGGTAACTTGCTCGACACAGTGAGAAATGGTGGAAAAGGGGTTTGTGGTAAAATTTAGTTATTAGCGAATTTCCCTATAGGGAAGTAGCTATTACCGTAGGTGGCACGGTAAGACCTAGACCCGGGACCGATTTACTTTTTCATTTTGATGTCCCCAGAGGCCAAAAACACCATTCGTTCAAATTTTTATATATGTATATATATATATATATATATATATATATATATATAGACTTATATATATATATATATACGTCCGTGAACGCGATAACTTGAGTAATTTTTGTCCGATTTTGATGAAATTTGGTTTGAAGGTGTAAAGCGGGATAAACTTGAATGAGTTCGCGAACCAGCACGATCGGACCATGGGAACGGGGCTTTACCGGGGGTTTTATGGGGTAAAAATTGTTTTTTCTCACTTTTGACCCTCAAAACACAAAATTTCCTGATTTCTCTTTAGACCTTTTTAAAGAGCTTAAAAAAACAAATAATTTAGTATATAAAAGTATTTTTGTTCGATTATTAGTAACGGAGAAAATTTAAAAGAATTGTAAATTTAAAATTCCCATGTTATTCTTATGGAGAATATTGTCAAATGTTGTGGTTTGCTTGTTTATGGATATATTTCGATCAAACTTGGCAAATTTATTTATTTTGTACTAAGCTATCAATATTTTACTCAAAAACACACTTTATTAGTTTCCTTGTAGCAGCAAACCTAGGTACTCGTTAAACCTAATGTTATTAAAATATATTTAACTGAAAATCAATTCAGACAAATGGAAATTCGCTTAGTCGGCAGGTTTGCTGCGGCGGGGGTATTTTTATATTAAGACCAATGCAACTGCCAGGCAAATACAACTCCCGGACAAAGTGGGTTTCACTTTTATCTATTTCATGGAAAAAGACAGTAAATTTGGCCCCACGACAAAGTAAATTTATTGAGCAAATGGAATAGCTTAAGTAATCTTAGACAGTGTGAAAATAGTTTTACCAACTATATGAAAAGAACGTAAGCTAAAAAATAAGGGTGGTGAATTAAAAATATAAAGAACAATATCGCAAGACTGAAACAGTTAGAAATAGCATGAAGGATCTCTAGGCTCTTTACTGTCTTATCTGACTCTCTCTCTCTCTCCCACCCCCCTCTGCCACCCCTATCAACCTCTCACCTCCCCATTTCCCTCCCTTGTACTCCCTAATAGTGATAAATCTTTCACAGATTTATCTTCCATTGAGAACGTTGTGGAAGACTTCTCTCAGGTACATTTATAGGGCTTATTTTGAGTGATTTTTTTACCTTATAGGCCTACATGGAGTTAATTCTTTTGGACCATTTTCATTTATCAAAAGACTTAGATTTATCAATGTTTTACTCTATGTGAAACATCAATTTGTGGACCTTTAAACTGGAAGATACAGCAATAACTTTTGAAACGTATTTTAACCTCTGCGTCAATGAGTCATTTCAAGAACTTCTGAACATGTAGTTTCAATAATTAATTAATTATTACTGTAACACAGACACAATTTGTTAGCTAAAGAGTATTTGTATATGTTATGAGCTTTGGAGAGTGGTCGCGATAGTAGTTAGGATCAAAACAATCCCTCAGATATGCTTTACAATTTGTAAAAATTAATATTGGTGTTGTGGAAACCATTAACTTATTTTGATAATTTATTAAGTAAATTGTGTTCAATGACATATCTTTGTGGTCCTAGGACTAGCTCAGAATAGTTTTTTACATTACTTCAATCCAGACCTAGGGGTTGCGGCATTTTCACTTAGATAAAATCCATTGGTGATTTGGCGGGATTTGAACCCGGGATCTCAGCAATCATAGTCCCACGCTCTACCACTAGACCAGCTCGCTCCCTGTTCTATGACTACTAATTTATAATGTCTTGCTAATCTAAATTTTTCAAATAACACACCACTTTTTGAAGTTGGTTGAAACATTTGTTAATCCATCTTGAGTACAATTCTCGATGATTTGACATTAACAGCAATAAGTTCACAATTAAAGTGTTAAATCAAATTATACACTTGTACTTGTACCATTCCCATGTAGTGAGGCTATGTATTCCACTGATGTATCAGCACCAATGCATCATCCGTGATTGAACTGAACAATCAGGGAGTGACGTACTCGTATGTCATTCTATGCAAATAGTTTCTCAGCATAAATTGATTTCTCTGGGTGCATAATATGACGGTTGTATCTATTTCAACTTCATTATTTTGGTAGGTTTTCAGTTGTTCAAATATGCAGGTGATGTCCGTGATGTTTAGTTAAAAAAAAACATAACTTAGGCAATACATTTATAACTTAACAATTAATTTATAGTGTAACTTGGTGTAGACAAATAAATTATAACCAAATCCTTTTGAGATTCTAGCATTTAATGATTAGATGAGTTTTTAAAAAATACGAAATTATTTTCATTGGCTATTTATTTAATGAAATAATTTGCTACGCTTTCAACTGCCCGTGAAAACTCTAGTGAATGATTGCTTAAGCTTGAGTTTCCACTTATATCCAACAGGGGAAATCGGCTATGGAGCTAAAGTGGAAAGAATAGTTTAAACATCTTGTCTGTATTCTCCTGCACGTCCTAATGATAAAATTTAATGTATAGGTATTATGTTTCAAAGAGAGTTGAAAAAGATAATTTTTTGCCCTTAAATTATTGCACATATAAAAAATTTTAAAACTTCTAATCCCCTTCTTTTTCCCCAAATGACCCGTTCAAGATTCTCACGTTGAATCTGGACACCCTGTACATATAATACATACATATTACATATTATAAAACGGTTACACTGTACCCAAAGCTGGGGTCAAGTAACTACCAGCCCTTGGTTAGGATTTTGATCTTAAAATTATCTGAATTGTACCTCAACATCTTTACTGTGAGCTAAATAAAATATATGGTATTACAGATTCCATCAACGGTCAAAGAACCATAGCAAAATATAACCAACCTATAGTTTGTAGCTAGATGGTAGCTTAATTGAAGATGAACTGGTCGGAACACTTTATTTTGTTTGTGTTGTCAAGACACAGGAAAGACTCTTTCTTTTTCATCCAGGGTAGATAACAAGCAGGCCCCAAACCCAAAGTTACTTAAAGATTATTTGTGACAGACTAGGCAAAATAAAATGCTTGATTTTGATGGTTTTATACAAAATGGTCATTCACTACACCCTGCATGTGTTATTGTAGGCCTTTGTAAAACATCACAGACAGGGTTAGCCTTTAAAAAAAATAATTAGTATAAATAGCAACTGCGAAGTCTCAAGCTAAAACGGCCATTCACTGATGTCCTCACCCTAGTTCTAGTCTCTCAAAAACATTTTCTGTTATAAAAATTTACAATACAGTAGTTGTGTAATTTTTTGTTATATGAAATTCTTGATCATTTAATCCCAACTTATAAAATGCACTACAGTAGAGAAGGTATTGATACATGTTGAAACCAGTGATAGTTTTGAGACAACTGTTAGGTCCAAATGTTACATTGACTATTTGATCACCCACCACTAATATTCTCAAAGCTAGCATTATTGATTGTTTCAGGATGCGAGAATATGTAGAAGAGAATGAGAAGAACGACCCGTTAATTCACGCGCCAGATAAGAAGAACAATCCTTGGGCAGAGAAGGGGAAGTGTGTGATCATGTAGAGTCTCGGAGAGGCTTAGACACCCGTGGGTGACCAAGATCACTAGACACCCGTGGGTGACTGGCTACTAGTCACCCATGGGTGTTGGACTTCCTCAGTTTGTTCCAGACTGGATTTTTACCACTTTGTTCTTCATGTGTTTTACTCCACGCTTGTGCGCCCAGTTTCGGGCAAGTTCGCCATTTGCGTCTCAGGATGCCAGCTCATTATCGGGAAGAGAATTGTTATTGCGAATAGTTACTTAAATTATTAAAATACCAAAAACGTTAGTGTAGTCCTACTTTTTAAATTCAAGACGGTAAACTAATCCTAGAATAAAACATAACCAATTTTAAGGTAAAAATATTGTTAATTAAAAAAATTAAAGTTCCGTCATATTTTCAAGATACTTTTCGTTAGATTTTAGTGTCTTTAATTTTAGTCCCTAAACCAAACTAGTCGTAGATTAAGCTAGGGGTAGGATAAGGTCAATTTTGTTTTACCAGCCGACCAAGCAAACTCTTTATTCTAAAACAATCTGCTTTTGTGACTTTATCGTCTCTTATAAATAGAGATATATTAAGAGTTAACAGTAGGTATTAATCGCTGCTCACCTTGATAATGCAGTTTCAAAATATTCTTTGAACTAGGAAAGTGTTTACAGTACAAAAGTTGTGAGCCTGGTACGTGTAAAACAAATAAGTTTTTTTTTGTCAATCTGTTCTTAATTTAAGTGTGACCCAGATATTTGTTCACGTGTTTAAGTGTTTTGTTTTAAACTAACTCGGTGTTTTAAACTTTAACTTTTATATTGATGTCTTAAATTGTTACTTTTAGTGGGATTCATGTGTTTATCACTGTCAGTTTGTGTTATAAAAAATCTAAATATGCAGCACTGCCACATAAAAAGATTCAAAGGTTGACAGAAAGTATATTTATGGTTCCAACCAATCTAATTTACTTGCAATACAATTTGGTATAATTATATAATTTAAATAGTGAGTAATTTTATAAAAAAAGTAGGATTTATAATATATTGTTAAAGTTTAAATTCTAAATTCTTAGTACAGGGCATAATGCAAGGTATCCTATGCTACCTAACTATATTTTGTACCGATTCATTTGTTCTGTTAGTACTTAAGATGGTGGTATTTTGTAGAATACACAAGTATGACACATGTAGAGGAGAAGTAATAATTGTCTTAAAAGAAATTAAATCATCAAATTAATGAACAAAAATTACAGATTGCACATTTTATTTTTTATTATTTAAAGGCTTTCCACTATTTTTAAACTAATTAATATATTTTGTGTGTTTTTGCATCTGCATGTGCTTTAAATATTTAACCTGTGAAACCTTGAATTTACCTTAAATTATTTTATTTATGTCATATTGCTTTACGAAACTGCATATCAGTGCAAGACTTAATTTTATATTGTATTTATTTCATTGCATTTTAATTATGTTACCTTATAAAGTTTTTATAATAATTATTAAATTACAACTAAAGGTGGGTGTTTTATTGAAATCCTCGCGTAATTAATTTATTAGAGATTTATAATTGATTGATTTTGAGCATTAAACAGTCATAGCTTTAGGAAGAAAGGGATATCACTTCATTGATACAATTTTCATAACTAAATTTAAAAAAAAAAATCTTTTAAATATTGTATGCCAACATAGAAATAGCTAATACATAATTTATTCTGACAAATAATAGTTGATACAAGTTTTTTTACCACTAATTATTTTGCTCTTAAAATATTATTCCAGTTTTTGGTAGATTTTTTGATTAACGATTTACTATACACCTCTCTGAAGTTAATACATTAAGTAGGGCATGTATACTCAAGACTACAGATTTAGCAAAAATATTGTTTATTTACCTGTATTTTGGCCCGCATTATTTGTCAACCTCAAGTTATATGGATAGACTCGGTGAAAAGAAAAAAAAACAGTAAAAAAATATTAGGTAAAGCTTTTTTTATACTTTGAATATTATTTAGATAATTCCTACACAAAAAATAGTTCAAAACTTCCATTTAGGCTGCGGCCACATGGGCGTTTTTTCACGCACAAACACAGCGTGAAAACACTCGAAAAATTAGAGTAGCATTGAAACAAATGGGCCCTCGCTACTGCGGGAAAACACACTGCGTGTGGCATACCTCATTACATTTAATGCTGCTTGTATTTCTCGTGTTTTTTCAAGCTGCGTTCTTGCGTGAAAAAACGCCCGTGTGGCCGCAGCCTAAGAGTGAATTTGAACTCAAAACTAATAGTCGTGATACTATAGTGATAGTGTGTATATATTTCTGTAAAATATAGACTATGAAATGCCTAGAGTGACACAATCATCTTAACAGCTCAATAACAAAGGTAATCCAGCATCAAAACACAACTACCGGTACGATATTATTATTTCAATAAAGGCGATTGTGTTAAAATCTCAATAGAATATTTTACTTTAAAAAGCTTGTTTTTAAAGAAATCCCTTATTCCATGACATGTTATATAACTGCTTATTACAAATTCTAGGCACGTTTTCAGACAGGAAATCACCAAACTTAAGGTGTCATAAGGGAAGTAAGCAATCTCACTATGAATGACAATAAGATTTGGCTGCACATCGTGTTTACAGGCTATTCCTCAATAGTTCAATCATATTTCCTCACCAGTTTCATTATAGTTTTATCTTTATTATTTACTAATAAAAGTGTTTGCTATATAAGAGTGGTTCTAAAAAAACCTGATATTTTACTTCATTATCTAAAGGAGTACCTAAACAATTTAATACAAGATGTGAATACAGGGTGTCTGATAAATTTAAAAGAGGCCGCCAACCTCTTTAAAAAACAGCCAAACTCTGGGAAATGGTTCTACGGGTAAAAATTAAGATAAAAACCAAGCATGTTTTTCCAAAATCACTTTGTTAATCAAATACCCGCCAATTTGTATTTTTACATTTAAACATTTTTATTCTTGAATTGCCCAACCCATCATTTCAAACTTTGTATGTATGTTAATATTGAATGTTATAAAAAAATTTGTAAAATTCAAAGTTTAAATTTGTGGCCAGCATTTTAATCTTTTATCTGACAAACGTAATAAGGTGTTGGGCTATTCTGAAATTAAGTGGAACTTTTCTTTCTTAAAAGAATATGTAGTCATATTCTTTTAAAATCAGTTGACTTTTATGAAAATATATATTTAATGTCCTTGCCGCACCAGTTTAATTCAGCCTTAGAGGGTTTTCCTTTGCCAATCATCATAAAGTTATGTCCATGTTTCCTACAAAATAGTAGCACTTTGGCTAACACCCTTGTTCATTGTTTGTGGGAATCTTCGTATTGTAGATGTTCTTCATTATATAGGTAGATATAACAATAGTACATTTTTTTTAATCTCCATTTCTTCTACTTGGTGGCCTTCTATGACTTTCCTATGTTTCCATGGTTTAAAAATCGGTTCTTTCAATGACTGTTCAAGAAATACAGTACTATGTCAATTCATTTTTTTTATCTGGTAAAATATATATAATCGTCCAGACTTTCTGGATTTTTTACATTGTAATATGTGTGAATGTAAATTAAAATAGTAAATATTTAATTTCAACAAAATCAGTAAAATGTACCCAATGCATTTCATTGAATTGAAAAATAAATAACAGCAATTAAATTACACAGCTGATCAGTAATCAAAATGTAAGCAATTATGTTCGTCATAAGGATAACATGGGAACTTTAAAAGCCACTTAAATCGATAAGAAATGGAGGAGGAGTTCAACCGACAAATTTCGTGTTGGTGTATTAATTACCGGGTATATGGAGATATATGAATTTGAACAAATGGTGTTTTTGGCCTCTGGGGACCGCAGAAAAAAAAAAAAAAAAAAAAAAAAAACGGTCTTTGGTCCAGGTCTTACCATGAGACCTATGGTAATGGCTTATTCCCTATATGGGAAATTTGCTAAAACCACCAAAGATATTGCATTACAAAGGATATTTTATAAAACTTCAAATGTCAATAACAATAAAAAAATTAAAAACGTTAGGAAAAAAATTATATATTGCGAGTCCCATGCCTCACTTTAAGTTTAAGTTTCCTAAAATGATACACTCGCTTAGCTTAGTCAAGAGGTGTTAGGTTAATGAGACATAAGACTGCTTAAGGGTGTTACTCAACATGTAATGAACAAAAATTTCAATTTAGAAAAACAACAAAAGTAACAAAGTGTTACTACAGCAAAAGAAAACTTAGAAAAGGCAAAAATCAACAATAATAAGATAAATTAATTTACAACGTTAAATTTACAAGAAAAGAAAATCAATTGAAAATTTAAAAGAATTAGTTACTGACAAATTACATGACTTGTATGTTTGACAAAACTTTAGTTATGTATTTTATTCTTTTTACATACTGTTAATTGTCCCAGAAGCACACGCACCGATACACGCACTCCCAAACTCCCGATCTTCTTTCTCCGGTGGCCCGTGGTGATCTCCTCGATTGTCCTCTCCAGGTCCTCCAGCTCCAAGACTCGTCACCCCTCCATCTTCTTCATTAGCCCTGCTCATTGGCTGATTACCGATAGGGTGTGTGGCTTATAGGTTAACGATGTTTCTTGGAAGTCAGCCCTACCGGTCATCGCCTAGCTCACATCAGCTGGGAAAGGAATTTGTAAATCGATGCTCATGCTACTGTTCAACTCTGTTCACAACAACTGGTCGACTAAGTGTAATGTGAACAGAGTGTCTGCATAGATGAGCACCGTGGGTACGGGGTTAATCCCCTTTCTTACAATATATAGTGCTTTTTCCTTGAAAACATGCGTTTTTAAATTTTCACTCTGGTACCAATATGTGACTACAATTGGAGATATCAGTTATATAAAGCTACTGTTATATAAAGGTGGTGATATTTCAATTGAAATGATAAAAACTGTCAGTCCTTATGCTATCAAATCAATTACCCATCTGATAAAGACTTGGACAATTTCTAAAGTCCTGGAAAATGAGTATCATCCGGCTGCCACCCAAACTTACTGCTTCAAGAAAAGTAGAAGACCTAAGGCCAATCTCAGTATTACCAGCTATTACTATGTCAAAGATATTGGACAAGATAGCTATTCGACAAATAGTGAGCTACATAAATTTGCAAAATATATTTCCCAAACTTCAGTCCCCCCTCTTCCCCCCCCTCATGAGGTCAGCTCAAAATGTATGGCCGGAATGTTTACCCCCGGCCAGATATAGAAATTAGTGAGAGTAATTGATTTTCTTCTTTTCAATTTCAATATTATAGCAAACATTTTATTATTAAGTAGCCTATCTTGATTTGTTTGTAACCTCAACTATTGAAACAGGTTTTGCGTGTTAACTTCGAGAATTGAGTTTCAATTTTTGGGGCAAGTGTTTGTTAATATTTATGTAAACAAACTGAGTAGCCCATATAAATGATAATTGTTTCGATTTGTTTAACAATTTATTATACTGAAAATTAAATGGCTACTTAAAAATAAAATGTTTTTTCAATTGAATAGTCAAAACTGAAATAAGAAAATTATTTGTTTTCACCAATTTTTATATCTGGGGGGTAAAATTCTGGAGGTAAAAATCTGGGCGTACATCTACATAGTTGCCTAACCACTAGTAAAATGGACAGGGGGTAAAATTCCGGACAATCTCAACTATTAGGTTAAAAATGCGCTCTAACACTTCCCCAAAACGACTTTTCGTTCTCAATCGGCCCTCTATCAAAGACCTGTGTTGCCTGTACAGCGAGACATTTTGAGGAGAAAACCAGCCGGAATGCTTTAGGTTTATCAACAACGAAGATAAACATGGTCTGAGTTACACACTGGAAATCTTTGAGTTGACTCTTTTAAACACATTGTACATATGACTGTTATTCGTTTTGAAATAACTCTTGTAATACTTTACAATTATTGCTCGAATTCGAGCAACATGTACACTAGTTCATATTTAAAAGGAATTAAAGGCATTTTGTCAGCTTTTTCAACTGCACAAGTTGATTCTATGATATTAAATAGCATTAAAAAGTTGTAAGGTTTACCAACAGGGTGCAGCACTATTAACTTTTTTGCATTTATGACAACAGCTGACTTGAACCAACTAGCAACAAAACGCTGTGATATACAATGAGACATTTTTTTATTGTTTAGATGCAGTGGTAAAACATTATGGCCATGGTAGATGTGCTATATTATAGCATACCGTAAAACGGGGTAACTTGAGACAATTTGCAGATGTTTTTTTTTACATTTTTTGTTGGCATACCTGATAAGTTATTGGGAGTTTCCTTAGTGTATAAACATGTCATGGAAGTTGATCCCTTAACTACTGCATATTAAAACATATTGTGATATTCAAGGTAAGATACTTTATTTATTTATTTATTTTGAGTTACAGATGTTCAAAAATTATAGGCTGTATAACTTACCTTGTAGCATCAAGTCTATTATTAGGAATTCAATGATTGTTATTACT